CGAGATTGGCAGGGACTAAAGAGAATCCCATTTCTCCAAAGTCAATAAATAGAATAAGAAAGTCTGCCCAAGGCATGTACCAAATATTTCACATACCCCCACCAGGTCTCTGGCTCCGCAAAGAAACTAGCTAAAACAGAGCTCGCATGAATTGCTCCTAACATAGGGGATTGCCTCATCCGCACCGCCAGCAAGCCTTTCTACAGCGAATATTCAAGGAGAACGTTTATTTAAAAGGAGTATTCGGTCCAGCGATTGTAAGGAATCGAAAGCTAAGCGAAGACCATCTATCCCTACCCCCTAAGCCACTGTTGTTAAAAAACCAATGCAAAAGATAAAAATAAATGAATAAGGCAGAACGAGAATAAGCCAAATAGTCCCTCATTGAACCAACTTGAATCTTCACTTCTATTTAGAACGCAAAAGCCCATCTTTTTATTTATATGTCTAAGGAATTATGGATTTTTCGATTGCTCCTGATAAATGGGTCGTAGCATTGAATGTACTCTCGAGTGATCGAATGACTCTCTATGACACAATTACTTACCTATGGATGGAGCGATCCCCTCGTAACCAGGATTATATCACGATCGATTGAACATCTAGTGAACGCTTTAGTCTTGTCTCATCCGGATTTATTTACTCCATAACTAGCTTACTGAGCGAATCCGAATTCATTTCGAGACGTGGAGACTGTTCAAACTGAGTATGTTGGAATCTATCAAGGTTTTTGGCTCGCAATAAAGCTAGGGTCCTGATCGAGCAACTAGTAGTCCTATCTATCCACCTCTCCAGACACAATATCTTGAGTACCTATGATGGTGACCACATCTGCTGGCATGTGATGTTTGGACATAGAATCGAGTCCTTGTGAATGGGCAGAGCCAGGTGCTCTTATTTTACGACGGTAGGGACGATTGCTTCCATTACTGACCAGAAAGACACCAAATTCTCCTTTAGGTGCTTCAACTGCGGTATAGGTAGAAGAAGCTGGTACGGAAAAACCTTCTGTATAAAGTTCGAAATGGTGAATTGAGGTAGAGTAGACTGATGATCCTGTAGTCATTTGGCCGGGAAAGAAAAAGCTTGCATCTGCTTCCCCTATTATATAACCGGTCCCATCTCTCTCCAAACCTAACGTGGTAGTTTCCCATCATAGGGCTTTCTATCTATAGATTAAGCCATTACCAAGGAGCTAATTCGTTCAGAACTCAGTTTACTGCTTCTATAGATAAGGCGGAGCGTCCTTGGCTCAGCATTATAGCACGCACATAGGGCTTCGGCGCTAGCTCAATCCGTTGCTTGTTCGCTTTCTCAGTAGCAAAAGCGCTTCTCTTTGCCCCATTTCTAAATAGTTTCTTTAGACAAGAAATATATGATTTTTTTATTGCTCCCGCTTCCTCATCTGTGCTCATCAAGCCAAACTTTGCTCTTTGGGGGGTGAAACAGCGGTTGAAGCGGACATTTCGAAATGACAGCATCGAATATATATGTATATATATACACGGTTACGGTTATCTCGGACTGCGTTCTGGAAAAAGCATCCTACTTGTGGGGCACTGTGTACTTACAGCCTATACGATAAGCAAGGTGAATGGGGCCGGGTTCATCAAACCATTTTTCGCCCTAAATAGGGGTAATTTGTTCGCACCTGACTGTGATAGCCCTCTCGATACCTTATTGTAGCTTTGTAACTAGTGCCGTCGCTAGAGCGTTTTCCCAGTGCGCGGAGCCCCAACGAGGAAGGTGTTAGTGGTTTATCATTGGGTCAATAATGCTAATCCCTCTTTTTGTGCTACTCCTAGGGCGGGAAGAAGATAAGAAAACGCCAAGTGTTCTCTTGCTTTCCCAACCTGTTGTTTCTAAAGACTGCCCTCTCTCGGCTGGATCTTGGTCCAGCCTACTATGAGAATCCCGTATCCAGCAACCCAACCTATACAAAGGGCATCAAAGCCCCTTTACTAGGTTGGAGCTATAAAGCTTACCGCCCCGTGGGTTATTATTATGAATAAGGGAAAGGGCTTTTTCAGCTGGTGCGCAGGAGCGCACTTCCGTTTTCCCTTTACTAGTAGGGGGTCCCGTGGTTCCTATGCCGCCGCGTTTCCCGGTCCTTTGTCTTTTAGTGCTTCGACCCGAAGCGATAGCTTCTAGCTAGTTCAGTGGATAAGATGGCTGCGCTCCAGCTCACTCAAGAATGGGACGGCAGTGGTCCGCCGGCAAGCTCGTTCTGATCTTGGGCGCAGTACATTGGAATCCTGAAGCACCACCACGAACGCTACCGCGCGTCCGCCTGCGGTGCGGTAAGGCACCACCCTGTTGTGCCAGCAGCCAATTCCGGCGTGTCAGCTTAGTTATCCTCATCAAGCCACTTACTTGATGTCTAGCTTCCCAACTGGTAGACGGTTCCTTTTCCCCCAGATCGATGAAGAAGGGAGACGTCAGTTTTATTATTCCGAAGAACCGGAAGCGAAACGCTATGCCGGGGCGGGGGGGACGGGGA